ATGTTGCTGGATGGTAAAAAATGTGCTTATTAGAATTATTAAAAGCACTCTACAGCGACAGATTAAGCAACTAATGAATACTTCCTTCAATAATGCTGCGCGAACTCTATGAAATTTTAGTGAGATTGGTATTTTGTCTAGGACCTTCGTTTTTGCGATGACGATTTAATTTGGTTCTGTATAAATCGAACATCATGATTCGCTGCTCGCCTGAAGAAGAAGAAGAAGAAGAAGAACCAAAGAAAGAAAGAAAAGAAAGTCTATATAGAGTCGGTGTTTTGCAGATTACATCTGAAAAATAAAATTTCTTCGCGAGTTTCTAGTTAATATACCTAATCCATCGCGTGGTCCAATGAACTAGTTGCAAACACTCGGCACATTCATTTCGTCTTGAATCAAAATACGATAGTCTTACTTTCTAAGATTATAAAATTGACTTGTTGATGGAACCAATCGATCTCTCATCGCTCGTCTAAGCTGTGTTTTTTTTTTTTGACCGTATTGGCAACAGGGTATGTACGGAGTAAGATCTTGTACTTGCAGAGACTTGAGATCCGTCACAAACTCCCACGTGCTCTAGTTACTATCTTGCCTTGTTCGGTTTCTTATTTTTTGACCCTTGGCTTTTGCTGGCACGTAAACACACACCATTGATCATTCCACCTGAAACACACGTGCGCGCGTGAACCATATTTCATGAATTTATTTTGTGCAAGATGTTTCAACGTCCTCCCCACGGAATCCTCTGCCTGCGTATTATTTGACAGCGGAAACACTGGGAGCAGTGAGGAGTGAATGATTTGACAAGTCCAAATCAATATGGAATATGGTAGAGACTAGACTGTACAATCCCTAACACGACAAATGAGAATAACATAATCATATGGATGGCTACATGAAATTGGGAATGGATTTTTAAAGTCGACAAAAAGTGAATTATATGAAATTTGTATTTTTTTTAATAGAGAGAAGATTTTGTTTAATAAAAAATAATAAAATGATGGAAAGTATTAAAAAAACTCTATACAAAATCATGAATCTAGGATTTAAATCCCAGAGAGTTAACCAAAAAAATGGAAAATTTAGAAAGCTAGAGTTTTTCAACCTTCAGCCTCAAAACTGGATAAGGATGAACATGTAGCTGTCGAGATTTCCATGGGCCGAGTTAGTCTTTCGTGGGGCCCATTCAAGGAAGTGGACCCAAACCCAAGTTACGAAACCAATGGCACTCTTTGATTGTTTTTTTTTTAATCCACGTTTTAAATTAGTCTAACGCAGATGATAATTAAAATTTAAACGTACTTAATTATTTTTTCCTGTGCTCTTGGAATGAGATAATGTAGAAAAATAAATTAATTAGGAAGCAGTTGGTTCTGGCCTTCTGGGTTTGATGAGAGATGCAAATGCAGCTTGGGCAGATGCCTGATTCACTGTATGTAGGTAGGGCGCATTGCACAACCGCCGTTCATGTGTCAACCTCCTTCTTTGATGGGTCAACGTCTCCAAAATTAAATCCGACTAAAATCATGTCTTAATTATTATTCTGTCTGAGTCCTCGTGAGGGGGATGGGATCGATTCTGCATCCCGTGAGAGCTTAGTTAGTTAATTGTTCGTGTGAAATCTAATCACTTCTACGAATTAATGTTCCTTAATTTGCCCTACTTGATAACTAATACGTACAAATTATAGTGGTGATGTCCACGCTATTGAGTTACCCACCAACAGCCTTCAATTTTTCAATGTCCACAACACACGTCAACTTATTCCCAACTTAATTATTCCATTAAGCACCCCTCTTCCCTCGTTCATGTAAAAAAAAAATAAAAAAAGCTGGCCATTTTGATACAACTACTGCAATGAAATTAAGGATACAAGATTTGAATTTGTTGACAAAAGTGTATTTTGAACCCTCATTAAAAATAATAAAAATTGAATATAATTATTAAGAAATAGACGATAGTGATAAAAAAATATGAGAAATAATGTAGATCGTTTTATGTCAGAAATTAACAATACTATTTTACATATTTAAATAGAGTAGTAAATATTGGGATAATTAATTATTCAATATCAATCAAATTCATCTTCAAACTATAGACTGATCGCAGCAAGATCCATGATCTTCAATAGTTACACATATTAATTTAAAGGGACTAAATGTGAAAATGTATCCAACTTTAGAAGTATAACAACATTCCATGGATAATGAAAAGTTCATGCGCTCATCTGTTCGATTGTAAGCGTAAAAAATTTTCTCATCGTTATCTATAAAGAATACAATGAACCAAATTCTCGCGCGTGCCTAACATAGGGATGGCAATCCTTATGAACAGACTTCATTTAATTTGCTATATTTGCAATGCAGCCCTTCAACAAATTTAAAATACTAGCATGATCTCTGCACATTTATTTAACGACAATTGTAACTCTCAAACCTTAAAACTTCTTTGTAAATAGAAAGACTTCATTGTCTAGACTTAATCAAACAGTGACTGCACGTTTTTAATGTTTAGAAAAGCTCACCCTCGCCATCCCATCCATCATATCGTCAACCCTGGGTAATTCCCATTGCAACAAAAACCTATTGTGCGTGTACCAGTGATTGATTTTAAAACTGGACTGGATAATCGGACCAGTTCAGATTCTAGTTCGGTCAAAAATAAAAATTGTTTTGGAGATTGAGCCGAGTTGAGCTGTTTCGAACCAGTGGTCAAATTGAAAATTAAAATCAAGTTGAGAACCAGATCCAATTTTCAAGAACCGGATTGTTTAAAAAATATTTTTTATTGTTTTTTTTAAAAATTGACCAATTTTTTTAATTATTTGATATTATATTGTACCATATGACTTGTTAAGTCATGATAAACTTAAAATATTTAATTTTTTAAAAGTTAAATAGTAATTTCATATTTTTTTATATTTAAATTATTATATACATATATAATTTTTTAAATTTAATTATTACATCATCGGTTTGATCATTGGTCTAACCTGATTGAACCATGTGAATCGTGAACCACTGATATTTTCAGTTTAATATTTGATCCAGTTTTAAAAACATTGGTGTATACATGTATACGTATATCTTTCATCTTTAGGTAGAAGCTGAAGGCGCTGTGCATGTGCGACTCTGGAATCACAGAATGGTTTGGTTAGTGAAGTAAATGGGTAGAAGAAATAATAAATATATGTATACATGTATACATATATCTTTCATTTTTAGGTAGAAGCTGAAGATGCTGTGCGTGTGCGACTCTGGAATCACAGAATGGTTTGGTTAGTGAAGTAAATGGGTAGAAGAAACTGACCCACACACAAACAAGACTTGAGGTGGAGTGATTGAACGAAACGATGTTGTCGGCCGCTTCTGGTAAACAGGGCAGTAAGATTCCAAGCGGCAGCCAGGATTTGGGTTTGGGACTTTGATTTGGATGGATCTGATCGCAAAGGAGAACCCATTGGGCTGGTACGGCACAAAGCCCATAGATCCAAGATTCTTGGTCATTCTCTTGGTTTCCTTTGAGGTTGTACCCTCATTATATTTATTTTGTTCTTCAACTTCTGGGCAACTGGGCAAGAAGTAGGTGCTTGTATCCATCATCATTATTTCCCACCTTGACCAAATCTTTGAGCCCCCCAACGACACGCCTCATCTCTCCATCTTCTCTCCATAATGTAAGTATATATTTATTCAATTAGTATAGGAGAATTGATGGGCAATATTTCATTTTTTAGCATGATGTGATGGGCAAGTGTTGGTCCGGTGAAGTGAAAACGAGCGAATAATGAAGAGGAGCAAAGGACAATACAAGCGATGGTGCATCTGAAACAGCGTGAATGAAGAGTTGTCACCATGTCAGTCATCCATAACTGACCCTTCTTTTTAATTGTGAAAGTCTTCTCAGTTTTTACTTTTTGAAGATCACTCGTCTATCAGACTCAAGGACTCGTGTTCCTTTCAACTACACACGTACTCTCCTTTGGAAAGTTAGGTATTATCAAAACCTTGTCTGGGCAGAAAATTTTCTTTTCCTGGAAGCCTGTTCACAAAATATAAAAATCGTAGAAAAGTTAGCTTGGTATGATAAATATGAGTAGAAGCTACTTGTATCGTTTTAAAAGTCAGTTCGGCAAACATATTTTTACCTGAGTCAAACGCACGCTACGTTTTTACGGTTTTACCCAAGGCCTCCTCCGCATAATATCACGTTCCCCAATTGATGCCTTTGCCAAATCCCAATTCTTTATTCCTCTGGTTGTTTCGGAGTAGTTTTAGTCAGGTCGGTATAGCCTGGACTTGCAAATCTATCTGTGGGATAATCCAGTGGGCCTTAGCCCATATCAATAGGCTGATTATGGGCCCAAAATTGGCCTACAATACAACTACTCCTTTGTTCATGGTGACGAAAATGCCATTCCCAATCTCCTTGCGTTACCATTTATTAATCGGGGAACAACAAGTTAGGTATCCACTAACTCGCACATATTTGCTCGGAAATGTTCAAAACAAAAAATTAATTGGCATTCCCTTCATTTTCCCCCAGTTTATTATTTTGACATTTGGTAATTTTTTGTTAAAAACAATGTTATTATTGGCTACTGGTTCATGCTTGCAAGCCATGAAGCCACTGTTATTTTAACGGTCATTTTATTAAATTATGCATTTTGTATACGGAGACGTCACTTTTCAACGTGCGCCCCCAAAAAAAAAAAAAACTTCAATTTTACTTTGAGCAAAATTTGGGTTAGTTACGAGGAGCAACACCACGAACACAAAAAGAAAACAAATGAGCGGTGAGTAGTAAATGATACGACTTTTCATATCAAACCATCAAAGCTTCAATTTATTAGTTTTTCCATGTCACTTTATTAGACTCAACTTCATTTAGCGTGAGATTTTTCACTGAGACTCAAATATACTTAGATATCCTAACATTTTTAACACTGCATCATCATGTATTTTTAAGGAAATGTGTATCAACATATGTAAAAGTGAAAAGAAAAACAATCAAATTAAGTTCACAAATGAGAAAGGGATATTCATACAACAGCACTAGTAATTAATCTACTGACGATTCACAGAGGACATATACAGCGGATATTGTTCAGGTGTAGCCTTGCCTGTACTTGCGAAAAAGCTCCTCAGTTTTGGCGTTCCTAAAGGCACAAAGCCCTATCACATAAACAACAATCAAAGCAACCAAAGTAATCACCAATATCAGATTCGCCCCCCTCCATTCCTTCCTCAAATCTGCCAGCAAACCAGCCTTGCACGCGTCGCAATCGTAGCATAATTGTGTTTGGTCGTTGCTCCATTTCGAGCAATCCTCGTCACTTCCTGTACTATCGGACTTATCCAATACGTTGGATTCACGAACTGGTATCCACATTTCGTCGGCGGCTTACAGCACCCTGACTGCATCCCAGTAAACCCAAAATCACATAAACATACCAGAAAACTTTCAATTAATAAGCAAGAAAAATCCAAGTGTACCTGCAGGGGGGCTAGATGTGCATTAAAGAAGTCTTGAGCAATTCTGTAACGTTGGTTCAAATCAGCGCACATATTTGTGGAACTGAGACACCTTCTGATGTGATCCCACTTGATGGAGCTTCTAACTCGTCGACGAAGCCACAGAGAGAAGTCATCGAGATGATATTCCAGGTAAGCACGATTGGGTTCCGCGTCGCCGTGACCTCTCAGTGTGACCATATACACAAAAACCACCAAGCAAAGCAGCAAAATAATCAGAACAAGCATAGCGACGAGATAGAAAATAAGGAGTCTCGGGATTCTCCAAAGGGCTCCGATGAATCCAGCTAGAGCCACCAGTAATATGAGTACACCCAGTATGATCACCGGCCATTGCAGAATCTTGACGCAGGAATCGGCTGGCTCTGTCGTTAGCCAGATTCCAGCGGCGATGATTGGGATCGAGAGGAGCACGGCGATGAAGTTGATGGCTCCGATCACATTGTTGCTCAGCGCCATCTTTTTGGTTTCTGAAAGTGTCTTGTTGGCGAGATCACAAAACTGAGACTCAGTGGCCTTCTGATAACAGGCCCCACAAAAAAATTTATGCCTTGCTTTGGCTCTCTGAAAGGTACTAAAGCGAGAATAATCTCATATTTGGGATTTTGATGTTTGGGTCTCATGTGACTTTGAGTGTAGCTTTTTGGAAAGGAATACTATGTACAATAGAGAGAATATGGTTGGCAGCGATGATCTGTTTTAAATTTGCAGGTCATGAACATATTTAGAAGAAAGAATCCATGCATGAGCACTGATACCTTTACAGCATGCAAGTTGACTTATTCAACATTCCTTTTGATCATTTCAGTCATCTTATAAGATGGTGTATTCACATTTCCATTTCATTCTTTCTCACTTGAAATTATTGACAAAAATCAAATCTAACGATTAAAGTTCTTATGAATCAGGTTTTGGTTGCTGACCGAGGAAGAGTAACCAGAACCTACTGCGTATGGTTGTCAAAAGAAATTTACAGGAGACCATGGAAAAGTTTATTTATTCTTGCTCAAGCTTCGCTTTAACATGATATGTAAAAAGCTTGTGCATGTATATTTTTAGTCGGGACTTAGCTTGATGCTACAAATCAGTATGATAGACTTCTGGTTGGAGTTTGAGCTATAATTTCGCCATGGATATATCTTGGAACTTTGAAAAATTGCCAAAAAAAAAAAAAAAAGTTTCACCAACAGATCACATCGAGTGGCTTCATGAAAAGACTCTAAAATGTACAAATTTTCGTCGCATCAATACCACTTTTCAACTCTGTAAAATTGCAGTTTAGTCAATTTTTCAATGGTTATTAGTACATCTGCAATTCAAGACCTGAATGAAGTTTCCTCTTTCATGATATCGATGACTTTGAACAGTTACTTATAGAAGAGCATCATTAACTGGAGTTATTATCTACTCCCCGTTAAAAAAAATATAAAATATTTTTAATTAAATCTCACCCTCAATAAAGTAATTATTATTTTTAAATTAACCCTATCTTTCTATATTTATTCCTATTTAATAAAATATTTTATCCTAAAAAATATAAAGTAATCTATTCAATATAGACACTTAAAAAAAAAGTTACTACTCCCCCTGATCTTATTTATAGGATAGAGAGAGAAAAATTTTTTTAATCCTATTTATAAGTCATGTCATTAAATTTTCATTACAAATTTTCTCTATTACTCTCCATTGAATGTTGGAGAGAAAAAAAATATATAATTGAAGTGTGTATATTTAATAGGGGCAAAGTTAAAAACTTATTTATTTTTAAGATAGGGTTAATAAGTTTTATGATTTTTCTTGATACTGATTAAGCATGTTAGAAGTGATTTATAAATAGAACCAGAGGAGTAATGATCACACTTTAAAAGACTCAAAATGCTTTATATTTTTTAACATTCAACTTTTTAACAAATGTCTTATATTTTTAAACGAGAGAATAAAATTAAATTTTTGTAGCAGAAAAGTGGATGAAGTTTTCCGCTCAATCCTAAATCACCAGCAACTTTAGAAACAGAGCAAAGTTTTCTCAAAATCATATGTTCAGAAAGTGCCGACAATTAATGAATAGATTAGGGTTGAGAAGATTTGTACAACTGAATAGTTTTTATTCGGATCAATATGAGGTAGTTCTATATCCACTCCATAATGTGGCCAGGGCAAGAAATTTTCTTAATGTGAAAAATGACCAAAAAAACGCAGGCAACCTTAAATTAAATAAAGCTTTACTTTATATGTAGCTTTTATTGCCACCTTGACAAGGTAACATTAAATGATTTAGTTTTAGTAATTAACCTCCTTATAATATGCCTGTACGTGCGTAGGTTTTACCCAAGCTTCTTAAGTACTTATAAATAGTTGAAGCAACCCGCTTACGAGGCTCAATCATTCTCTAGCTTTATACCACCTAAGTACACCACACTAAGACTTTTACAGCCCCACAACCTTCGTCTTTTTGTAAACTTTATAAAATACATCTGTTAAGAAGTACAGTAATTAATTTTTATTATTAAAAATACAAAATATTTTACTGCAAGTATACAAATTAAAATACATTATATTATTGTGTCAAGATTGATCTAATAAAGAATTAAGCAAAATAATGATTAGGCAATAAAGTTTTCACTTGATTTACATCAAGCAATACTAATTAGAATTAATTGATTAACCAAAATTAAAATGAATAAAATGCAATGACGATGTCAATTCAACAATTGTGTACGTCCAAGGTAATTTAGAATCACTAATCTCTTGTTAGTTTTATAGATCTTACCTTTATCCAGTTAATTAATTTTAATATCATTTTTGAATTTCAATTTACTTTAATTTGATTATATGAGACATTTAGGTATATTTTTATTCTAATTACAAATTAGTTAATAATTTAATCCCATATTACTCAATTTAAGGGTTCAAATGAGATTCTCCTTTATCAATGAAAAACCCAGCACCCAAATTCATATTTAATGGTGGCCAAACATTAAATCAACAATTAAATACAAAATTAAGTAACTAGAATCAACATTAATCATAACCAATGGGTAAAAAATAGTTTTAATTCACCAAAAATTCATAATTACTCTAAGTCAAGTGGAATCAGCACTAACAGCCATTAAATAGGTGCAAATCAACAATATTTAACAAAAAATACATCAAAATGTAAAGAAAAAGAAAAAGAAAACTTGGGAGGAATAATTTCTATCACAAATTATTATAAGACCCAAGTGTTCCTTAAGCTTCTCCAACTCTTTCTCCACCTTAAAATGCTCCTTTGAAGTGTAGTTGCTGGTTGAAGATGAATTGAAACAAAAATGGTTTTCAAAAACTCTTAAAACTGAAATTAAGTGAAACTATACGTTTTTCTTGAAAATTAATTTAATATCGTGACATTTAAAATTGGTGTTGTAGCATTATTAGGCATAATTTAATTTGTTGTGGGCTTTAAAATTGTCAGCTTTAGACTCATAAATTGGGCCTATCTATATGGATAAAATATAGATTTAATGTCATAATTGATTTAATAACTTCTATAATTATTTGAACTTTATTTATCTCTAATTTTACAAATAATTATTCAATTAAACACATATTTATTAATTAATTTTACAAGATGACTTTCAATTGCATAAAAAACTCTATTAAATTAATTTAAATATTGGAAGTCATCATGGGTCCATTAATTAGAGCTCATCTAGACACCACCAACCAAGAATAAAACGCGAATAATCTCAACGACAGCGTGGTAACTTATATCGGGATATCACCCCAAAAAAAACATTACTTTGGATTTTTATCAACCAGACTATTATTTATTACTGTGACTAATATGACTTCTTATAAATTGGATATTTCACATTGTGTCTATGCCTTGTTTGAATCATTTTCCAAGTTGACTTCAGAAACCATGCATGAACGCGTAACAACCAACGAGCAGCTATTTGGGTTTGCTTTCCTTGTTGCTTCAATTTCCCCCCCTCAAATTTTATATCTACAAAATGATAGCACTGTAATGCTAGAATGTATAGGCATGTGAGGGACTAAATGCATATGGGCATGTAAATGTGGTTACAAGTTTCCATATCTTACCTATGACAGATTTTTTTTTTCCCACTTTGGATTCTTTCATGATTTTTCAAAATTCTTTTCGGATAGGCTTTTTCTTGATTTTCAAATATTCTTTCCATTATTGGAGTTTATACCTTGGAATCAAAATTCTCTTAAATAGCATAGACTCATTTTAGTCGAATCCAAAATAGTCAAGTGTGGAGAACATCCCTCTCCCAACTAGACGCGCCATCATTTGGTACATACAATGGGATAGTGACTACAACAAATTCATTTTTGGCATGTTAATTAGAAGTTTAGAATAACAAAAAAATCACTTTGTATATTTTATTAACTAAACATGGATGTGGAAAGAGAAAGACTAGAATACCCTGTCAATTTTCCTCCTTTTCCTTCTTCATTCTTGTGTTAAATCTCAATTAAGTAACTTTAATCTCTTATTCTCTCCGGCATAACGGATTAATTCAAGTGCAACCACATACAATATCAAAAATTGTATTTTTTTTAAATTTCCCTTAAAATTAATAAAATTTAAATGATTTTCGTAATCAACATATTACGTAATATTGGATGGTACATCATTAAAATGAAAAATAAGGCATTTATAGGAATTTCGTTAACAACTATTGTGCCTGGATATTCTATTTGAAGATGTGTTTAGTGGCAAGGAATAGGGACAAGAAAGAAAGCAATGGGGCTTTGTTTAGTGTTTGGAGTTGTGAAAAGACTACAAAGGAGACTGAATCAAAGAATATATTGGCTTCTGTGCTTATGATTATGTTTCTATCAAAGTTCGACAACAACCTCGCTCTCCACAACCTTATCATGGCTCCTTCTCCAGTTCCTACTTTCACCGCAACAAACGAAAATAATGATAATCTGTTTAATTAATGCATGGACATCATTGTACAGTTAAAGCCTCCATGTTCTTCTCATCTGCATGCATGTGGCCCATGCATTAACAAAGCCTATTTTCTACGTGGAGAATCACATTGAACATCAATTATTAATTATACTAACTTTAATTCGTTTCTCTTCGTAACTCTCCATCTAAATTACTAAAATTAAATCATTCTCCTATTAGTATATTATGTATAAGTGGGTTTGGTATCAATTCAAAATTTACCTAGTAGAGAATTTCATTCCTATATATTAACTTAAACTTATTGTCCCCTACTCATATACTTGATTATTAGTTGATTATATTGCCATGCACAATCTGATCACTCAGTATTTAAAATTTAGATCATCAAGTAATTAAAGGCCGCTGATTTTTATGTTTATTCACTAATTCTGGAGTAACTTGGTCCTCGATCTTCAATTCCTCATTACCAGAGCGCAATAATTGTTGGAATATATATATATATATATATATATATAGTTACTTAAGTCTCAGTATGTTGAATGATCCTGAGAAGAATATATTCAAAGTGCAATAGGATAAGCATTTCGTGCCTGTAATGTAGGCCCACGAAGGATATAGATATATGAGGTAGATACACTATAAAGCATATCTTATTCAAAGTCTTAATCATGTTTCCCTATACTTTTCACTGGAGAAGTTTTAGTTTATATTTATGCATATGTATGTATTGTATAGCCACAAAAGATATGCATATTAAAAATAATTTTCTTTTCAGTAATTTATTTTAGAATGGAAACGAAGTGAACCAATATATATAAAGAAGGGAGAGGCAAAACGTCCGAACAAAGAAATCAAGAGAATTATGAAGCAGGTCCCCTACAAGCAGCGAGAAACAATAAACTATGAAAAAGTGGAATGACATCTCACGCTTGAAGACACCAACGAAAATCAAGGATATGAGATGTTATATATAAATTTCAGCATTTATTACTTTAACGAAAAACATATCTTATTTTGATCTCCGATTTTAATAATAAGGGCTTCTTGTTAACGGAATTCATTTCATCTCTCTGTTTCAGGTCCAGCTAACTTGACGGCCAATTGACTCTACACAAACCTATACGTACAGCAATAAATTTCTTGAGCGAATCCCTATCTTACTTCATAAAAACTTCAAAACTAAAACCTCATGCTGCTTCTTCAATAATCATCATCAGACCAAGATGAACTCAATCAAAAAGCAGTGATTGCTTAATCAATTCCCACCCCAACAATCACCATCCACTTCTCCTTAGTCAACAAATTATGGCTAGTTGTAACCCAGAAAGAGAAGCTAGAGAACAGAGAAAGGTATTATGAACATCAAAAGAAAAGGAAAAGAGGAAAGAACCAAAAACAAAAAGCTAAAGTGAGTCCATCACCACCCCCATTTTGCTTGTCTTTGCCTCTGCTTTTCCGCACCATCTTTTCCCCTTGATAGAAACTTGGCTTCTGTGAAGTCTCTGTCTTCTCTCTCTTCTCTCACCCCCATAATTTATGCCACATTGCTCTCCAGTCTTTCTAACAACATAAATAAACGCTTCACTACTTAAAGTTCACCCACTTCATTCCCCTGATCAGTCTTTGTGTCAGCTTCCTTAAGAAGTTCCCGATTTTGCTCCTTGTAATTAACTATATCTAGTTTTCATATATCCTTCTAATATTCTCTGATAAACTATAATTCACTTGCACTGTTCATGCTTTAGTCTGCAGCTTCATCCATGGCTTCTCTTGGGAACCCCAGAAGTTGGGTTCCATACATGAACAATAAAGACTGTTCTCAAGGCTTCTGCAGTCTGTACTGTCCACAATGGTGTTACATAGTGTATCCTCCTCCTCCTCCCTTTGAATTACCTGAAGATAATTCAAGCCCTAATTTTTCACCTCTGGTTATAGCAGTCATTGGAATCTTGGCCAGTGCTCTTCTTCTTGTCAGCTACTACACCATAATATCCAGGTACTGCGGCAACCCAGAATTTTCGGATCGACAGAATCACGATCCTTCAAATGGTGAATTGGGACACTTTCACGACCCTTCCCTTCACGAGCCATGGCACGCGTCACCCAATGGTCTAGACGAGGCTCTGATCAAGACCATCACAGTTTGTAAGTACAAGAAAGAAGATGGGTTGGTGAGTGTAGCAGATTGCTCTGTTTGTCTCACCGAGTTCAAAGACGATGACAGCATCAGGCTCTTGCCTAAGTGCAGCCATGCTTTTCACATCCCTTGCATTGACACGTGGCTCAAATCTCACTCCTCTTGTCCTCTCTGTCGTGCTAGTATCTTCGCCTTCAACGCTTCAGCTCTTCCGGTGTCTGATTCCGTCATGGAGAATTCAACTTCCCAGGAAAATCAACCTGGGAATGAAAACAATGAAGTGGTGGGTTTAGCAGTAGAAGAAGAAAATGAAGAAACCTTACAACGTAGTACAGCTCCGAAGCCTACATTGCGTGCCTTGAGTGATTTGGGGAATTTGCAGGGAAGGCATAGTGTGATTGAGATTAAAGATGAAGGGTACATCGAGCCCTTTAGAAGGTCAGTTTCTATGGACCATTCATTTCAAAGTGGTAACCATGTTGAAGAAGGCTCTGTCAATGAAGCAGGTCCATCAAAGAGATCTCAAGGAGAAAGCAGCAAATCTAACAACAGAAGAAGGGTATTGCAGTGTGTATTGAGTCCCATTGTAATGAAGAGATCGTTTTCAAGTGGAAGATTCTCTATCAGCAGAGGAAGGCAAGGGATAATCCCTATCTGATAATTATTTTATTCCCTTCATCTTTTTCTCATTCTTTTGATGATCCATGACGGCGGCGACGAAATTACATGTGAAGAAGATATATTGAATCTGTTCTACCTATAATACTTACCGAGGAAGCTCCTTTAATTATTTGTGTACCTTTTTTGTCGTGTATCTTGATTGAACAAGTGCTGTTAGTTTTTCTTTTACTGAAGTCACAGAAATTTTAGATTCAGCCATACATGGAGGCATGCTTCATAATGGTGTGTTGTCAGAGTGGACAGGGAAATGTGAAAGGAAATGCCTTAAGCTCCAATCTCAGTTTCTCACGAAGCCGTAAGCGTGATGAAAAAGGAGTCATTGGAGCTCAAGTGAATTTCACATAGCCCAAGCACACAATTTGCTCTCCCATAAAAGTGAATGTGAACGAGAATCTGTTGCATTTCAGATTTCTATGAGCTGCAATATTTGAAATTATTTTACTCACTGAAAATAATATTACAAAATTTAAAAATTAATCCCACAAGTTCTAATATTCAATTCAAACGTCAAATTAAACTCATATTATTTTGATTTAAAGCCATGAATAATTTGAAGCTTCTATGATTTTTTGTTCATCACAAAACGATGCATGGGCACATGGGATATTAGTAAAATTCAGAAATCTTGTAATTTTTTATTAAAACGGTAGTACAATTTTAATCATGCTTTGTAACATCATTAAATAATATTTTTTGACCTCTAAAAGTAAAAATTTAAGAACTTTTTTGCACGATTATGGTGTTGAAATTACTTCTTTCAGCCCATTAAAATTAGGGCCCAATTTTTGGCCCAATACGAAACCAGAAACTGCAAATGTTACAAACTGCTTCAAGTTTATGTCAAAAAAAAAAAAAAACAAAAGAAAAAAACCTGCTTCAAGTTCGCCGGGAGAAAAAGGTCGGCCGGAGATGGAAAACACGTTGGGGCTCGTGACGTCCACCACCCACTCCATTCGCTTGTTCCCCTCCGAAGCTTCCATGGAGCTGCTTCTCTCCGAAGAGCTTCGACAATGCGCTGTGGATCTGTTCTGGCTACCCAATGTTCCGTACGCGCCATTTCGTTCTAACTGGATCGCCTCCGACCCTTCCACTAGGCCCAATTTGATCTCGCTCTTCTCCTGATCCCATTTTGTGTTCTCTAGTCCCACGCCCGGACATAAGGTAATTGTCGCTTTCGTCTTCTGCTAATTTCATCATCGGAAAAATTTCCTGGCAGCTATTTGGTAGATTTTGCATTGCCTAGCTAACGGTTTTATGACTTTATCATCTATGAATGAAAAAGTTTTTGGTATTGAACGGTGGAATCGGTTAGTAATTGCTTCTAAATGAGTTTAGTGAAGCTTAAGCCGTTTGATGATTTGAAATATGTTTGTTAATTTTATATCATAGACTTCACTTTGAGGTATTTGTTAATTCAGTTGAAGAGTTGAGATAAATTAAGATTGAAACACACTTTTTAATTCAACATTTTTGCCTCCAAATTTTATTCTTGAGATGTATGTCTATTAACTTGAAATGTTATATTCTTATATGATGATTTTCTCGTTCTGTTAAATAAAACTTGCGCACAAATTTTGACTCTCCGCTGATGTAATGCTTTTGGCATGAAGAGTGAAGAATTGAAGACGAGATTGAAGGAGGTTGAAGATATAGCAGAGAGGAATGCGCGTCAAGAACTAGTGGAGGATATTTCTCCGCGGAAGGATGTGAACGAACCATTCTCTGGTTATAAGAATCAATTGGGGTTTGGTAAAAGTCTTGCACTCTTGTTCACTTTTCTCTGACATAGAACTCTAATTTAACGAATCAAGTTAAAGTGATGCAGTTTACTCTAGATATAAATGGTTTGCACTCTTGTGTTTTATTGGGTGTCAAGATACAAGGGGTTACTGCCTTGTTTCTTTCTTTCAAGTTTTCAGCTGAACCCAACAAGGTCAAACGTAATGTTTATCACAGCGTGGCTCTGATGCTATAACACAGTGTGGCAAAGAAGAGGGATATCGTTCATTGATAAGAGCAGTGACTAATTTTTATATACAGCGATAACTGTGCTTGGCGGGAAAATAACAAATGATTTTCAAATTGTTGCTAGCCAGATCTGATAGAAGTTATCTACTAATTAACTCCTAAATCTCTAATAATATTCGTGTATTGAAAGGAACCATTTTAACGTACTTCATTTGTCATGTATCATATATTGACTATTTGACTCTTTTGGCTCATTTTAACGTTAAATTCTATAAATTCTTCTGACTTTAATGTTGAGAACTTTTTCCCTTGGTTTTTTGTTTGCAAAAACTTCACAACTCTTTGGTCAAGGTATTTGTTAACGCTGACCGATTGGGTAAGTTATCATCCAGTGAAATGTTACAGGGATTGTTTTATGCTGGATATTTATAGCACATGGAAGAGTTTTGGTGTGTTAAAAATTCTGGAAAGATTTAATTTTTGGCCGAACCGGGGAATGCAATTTAAATTCATTATTCACTGCTAATATGTATTTCCTGTTATTAACTTAAAAGTATCAAGGCTTTCATCTTCCGCGCCTTCCTTTAGTGCTTAAAGTTTAGTACTACTTAAATTAGTATTTACGATCTTTAAAATGGACATAAAGAAGTGGAAGTTAGATGGCACAAGTCCATTTGGCCTTTCTGTGGCCTTTCATTTACCATATGTGAATATTTATTCTATCGTCTACAGACAATGTTTTCCTATCTCTGACGTATCTTTGTTTGAGTTTTGCTCTCTTTCTAAATGTTTTCAGGTTTGCATGTTGTACTTACCATGTTTACTGGCTATATGCTTGGGCATGCATTATCCAGAGCATTATTTAGCTATAATCCTGCCACGTTATCTGTTTCCTATTATTTCTCAAGTTGATCTATAACTTGTCTTTTGTCTCACCCTTTTTTTTTTCTTGCTTTGAAAATTGTTTTCCCTTCAGAATGCTGTAGGAGGAGTTCTAGATATGGTGGATGGCATGCTTGTTGAGACGTTCCTTTTTATTATTGGAGATTCCAAATACAATGTTGAATTCAACAAGAAAACAAACTCTAAACTCGAACTTAGATCCTCCACTTCAAGTTCCAAGCTAAAGGAAAATCAGTGAACTTGATTAGGTTAGTCATTTCACGAATTTTGACTTGATATTTATGGTACAAATATATACGAGTTCATGTGATTTCCAAAGAAGAAATTAATTTGGTCATGTAATCAAGCTTTTATTAATATGGATAGAAATTTACTCTTTAATCAATTGAACAGGCACCTCATCAATTGAAATGTGATTATTCCAATTTGCAGCGTAGCAACCCGTAGAGCAAAATCATGAGCAATACTGCAACAAGCTGTCATTTACCATTGCAAACAGGATTTCCCTGAAGCCATTGATTCCACTCGGTTTCCATTCAATTGACACTTTCTACTTGAAACTTTTCGTCAATGCCCCTGAATAAGATTTTAATTAAGATTAAAAATAAGTTAAATGCGTAAATATGAACAAAAACATTGAGCTATGATGCTTGAATAGTTTAGCATTATGTTGGTAGGCTTATTTTATAACTTCGAACCATTTTATTGCTGTCCACTTTTCACTTTTAACTAGAATTTAAAAATCCATTTCTCTGCGCCCCACCGCCCCCCCCCCAAAAAAAAAAAAAACCAAAGAACTCTCATTTTTAAGGGTGTGCATTCATCAACTTCAAAAAATGACCATAAATGATAGATCCCTCAAGTTATAATCTTGCACAAAATAATCTACATTTGACTGAAAGACCACTTATGCATTCCAAGAGGCCCAAGTTTGCCACAAGATATAATCCAACAATAATCTTCTTTCCTTGCTTTTTAGTTATCCGATAGAAGGCCAGTTAATCTTAAATTTAAAAAATCATTTTAGTTAATGTAAAAATGAGAAATTTTTTGGAAAAACCTTGGAGTAAATATGGGAAATGTGTTGGAAATAATCTCGTTTTAGCTTATTTTGATGAGCAAATTCAATCATTTCTAACACATCTCTCGTGTTCACCTCAAGGTTTTTCGATCAACTCTCCCATCTGTAGTTAACCAGAACTACTTCCTTTTAATCTTAAACAAGCGAGGCCATGATTTTTTTTTTTCTGGCTGAGTTAAATGATATATAATCTATCAATATGTTGATGATAACTTCAAAAAAATCTGAGAGCAGGAAGAGGACCTTAATTTGCATCAGCTGGTTGTTGTCTTTTTTTTGGGGTGAAACTGGTTGTTGTCTTTCTAAGATAGCAGAAAAATATAACATTCTCTACTGTCATTCGATCAACTGTTTTTCTCTTTCCTTTTTTTTTTTTTATGTGACGACTTTTTATGTGATTATGTCGCTCAAAACTGTGACACGCGTTATTAAAAAGAATGAATCCGAACGATATCTTAGAAAGCAAATTAACAAGTCACCTGCAAATTAACTCAAAGCTAGCTAACTTTAATTGTGTAAACAAACTTTGAGTGCCTTATAAATTACCAGATAGAAAGATGTATAATAATGTTATAATACTGGTTAAAGTAAACATTTATAATGCATTATCTTTAGGATCTATATAATACACAAAAAAATGAGTTTAGTTTGCGAAAATGTGAATATATTTTTTTTAAATATTTTTCAGTATTATATAGATCTCACATATTTTTATGTCTAAAATTTATAAAAATTTTATAGTATATATGTGCTTTAATCTTGGTCTCTCTGTTATTAAATCTTGGCTCCCCCAGGATAAATGGATTTAAAAAAGAGCCTATCACATGTTCATCCATGAAATTGCTGCCAGATGGAGGTTATCTATCAGGTACACTTTTAGTATACCGTGCACTTAATTTTTGTTTTATAAAAAAAAATTTCCTTTTATTAAGCATCAATAGAGGTTGTTTTATCTATAAAAAAAAAATTGCAACTACATCATCATTATAAAATATATGTTTGCCTTGAGTTGAGAAATAAATAAAAAAATTAATCATTTAATCCTTATAATTTTAATTTAATTATAACTCAATCATTAAATTTTAACTTAGTGCAACTTAGTTTCTATATTTTTGACTAAGTTAAATTTAAATTCTTAAATTTTAACTTAATATATATAAATTTTAACTATAATTTTAGAGATTTAAAATATTAGTTTCTAAGCTTCAAAAAATAACTTTAGTCCTTATATTTTTATTTTTAAAATAAAAATAAATGTCAATATTTTAAACAGTTAACAAGTTAATAAAATCAAGGTTCAAGAATTCAGTTTCAACTGAGTTAAAAATGTAGAGCCTAAATTGTATAAAGTCAAAATTCATGAATTCATTCATAACCACGGCATATAAATTTGAGTCAATCTACTTAATTGAACTAATAAATTATTAAATGAGTGTCTTGATTAGTTTAATAAAATATTTTGTTTACATTCCCCTATTTTGGCGTTGGCCACTTGGGGATAGATCCAAATTCTTGTCTCGATCGGGAGTTCATGCCATTGAATCAATTTGTTGTTGGCACTATCATACATGCACTTACGAATATAGAAAGTTCAAAAAGCAGTGAATGGTGAACCTTATCTTAAAGCGGCAACTTGGTGGATACAAATTAAAATTGAAATCAACTTTGAGTTTGCGTTGAGAGCCTTTCTAAATTTGTCATCATCATTGAAACCATTTTCCCCAACAATACCATTTGAGAACACAGAAAACAAAACCCCTTATAACCATTCCCGTGCCCATTGTAAACTAACACCCCCAACAAAAATCACATCTTACTAGTTATTACCCCTCAAATTTATGAATTGACCTTCTCAACTTGTTCTATTATATTCATAACAATGGGATGCAACGTGGGTAGTAATTAGGATTAAAATCTTAGTCATATGATTGCAAAACCATAACATATATGTATGCATTTTTTATTATCTTATTTTTCACTTGTCTCTTTTATTTTAAAAATATCCTATAAATATTTTCAAAAATCAAAATTAATTTATTTAAAAACTCCCTTCTCTGATGCCCACTGCCTGTCTTGTTCCTTTCTGTATCCGTTCTTTCGTTTCAAATGCATTTTTCCATTCAGGCCGTTGGTAATCAGTTTTATTTCAATTGAGAGGCATTCGTAATAAAAGTTAAAGAAAAAAATTATCAAAAAGCTTTTTTGAAAACAACATGTAGGGACTTGTTAGAGTAGGATTTACAAGTAACCCACTAATCAATTTTCACATTAACAGCTCAATTTTGATAGTGAAAAAATGTAAGAAAATTTTATTACTATTTTTAAATTGTGCAGCTCAGTTTTACTAAAGTTAAATATTTTTATCTCTAATTCATAGAGTGGCATTTATTTGTAATTTTTTTTTTTAAAATCTTGATATGTGCGGAACATTGAATAGCTAACTCTTATAGTAATTAAGTATTGTGGGGGGAGTCACATGGTAAAAAATAAATAAATAAATAGATAAAAGATTCTTGTTACATGCGCTGAATCTCCAAGTTACTACTTAAAAGTACAAGCATGGTGAATTGTCAACATTAAAATAAAATATCTAATTTTGGTAAATAAAGAAATCAAATTTATAATAGATTCTATTATTATTTAATATGTCTAATTGATGGCGGAAGCTCGTCCTTTTATAACGAACATCCAAAGCTCATCAAAAGACAAGCCCAACAAAAAAAAAAAATAATAATAATGAAGAATCAAAACTCCCTTCTGATTCTAAGCATACTTCACTATGACACCAACAAAAGTAACAAGCAACATTCAGAAAAGAAAAAGCGAAAATTTCAACTAAGAATAAAAAATATTACTTAATTATTAGTGAATTTAAAAAATAAAATAAAATGTTAGTTTAATTCAAGAAGATTGAAGTGAAAATAATTTTAGTGATAGAAAAATTAAAATACCCTTCACTGCAAAATTATTAATTATTAATTTTTTTATTTTACTTATTAATTTAATAATATGAATTATAAATTATATCAATTTATCAGATAAGCAGCAATACCAGCCGTTAATTTGCTAATTTTATTTGTTAATTTACTAACATTAGTTATAAATTATAAAAATTGTCAGTAATTTATAACTAATATTTATAAATTAATAAGTAAAATTAACAATTTAACAATTGATGTTATTGAATAACGGATATCAAATCTTATATAATTATTGATATGCCAATTTATGCAATTTGCAACTTATCTTGATAAATTAACAAATAAAATAGAAAAATTAATAACTAATAATTTTGCATAACAAGTTAAGGATACTTCACTCTTTTCACAGTTGAAATTATTTTTATTTTAATCCCTTGAATTGAACTAAAGTTTTGAATTTTTTTAGGATCCACTAATAATTAAGTCTCATCCATAATCCCTAAGTGAAATTCTCACAAAGAAAAAAGTTGTTGTTGCTTATTTAGTTATTTTATTTACCTTGGCTTGATTCCTCACATGATTATTGTTTGTAATTTATCCTTCCATTTCCTTTTGAAATTTGACATTTTTATGTTTTAAAAATTTTATATTTTTATTATTTATAATTTATATATAAAGTATTTACAAATGTTTCTTACAATAATATATTAACTCTCTTTTATTTTTATAGTTATAATAGGGTAACTGAGCAAATTATTCTCTAAATTTTAGGTCCAGTAATACCATAGACTACGAACTTGTTTATCATGTAAATTATTTTCTCAATTTTTAAAAATAGTGCAATCTAACTTTTACCATTATAAAAAGTTAATTTTGACTGTCCATTAACTAAAAAATGAAATAAAAGAGCTTCAAAAATTATGAAACAAAAAATTATAATAAAAAACTCAAAAAATTCATAAAAAGAACTCAAAAAAAAGGATCAACTAATGGCAAAGTTAAGTAATGTTAAAGTTAATTTTTATTAATGATAAGTGCTAAATTGCATCATTTTTAAAAATTAAGAAAATAATTTATATAACAAATGAATTTAGATTTATAGTGCTATTGAACATAAAACTCAAGAGATAATTTGCTCATTTATAAATGAAGTATTAACTGAAAAGTATTTTTTAAAATTTATTTTCTCTAGTCGTATTTATAGGACAGAAAGATAAATTTTTTTAATCTTATTTATTAGCCACCTCATGAACTTTTCAACACAAAATTTTTTTTCACCCTCTATTTAATGTTGAAAAAAATGTTGTTAAAGAAGGTATATTTAATAAAAAAAAAGTTGAGAATTTATTAAATTTTATGATAGAGTTAATAAATTTTAAGATTTTTCTTAATTTTAGTAAAATATGTCAAAAATAACTTATAAATAAAATCAAAGAGATTAATAGTATATTTCTATCATGAAAAAATAAAATTATAAAGTGTCATTAATGAATTTTATTGATATGTATGAATTGTGATTGTAATTTTATTTAAAAATATTTTATATTTTATATTTTATATTTTATGATAAGATTTTTTTTTTCAGGAAATGCTCTCAGTGATTGTTTGACATGATGTCTATTTGTTTGATGATACTAATTTGTTAATAGTAAAAAAGAAATTATTTAATAAATGCAGTGATGATGGATGATTGTTCATTGTATTTAGGTCATTAAATAATTTTTCTTGAAATGCCCTTTATTATTAAATTAAAGTATGAGAGAAAAATAAATAGGAGATTTAGAAGATGTAAAAGTCAACCATAAATTAAGGGTAGTTTTGAAAAGAATCATGTCTTGCTACAAAATTAATAAGTTTAAATAATTTTATCAATGCTTTATATTTAAAACATCAAGAAATACTTCATTTGATTTTAAATATAAAAACTAGTTAACCAATTCATATAAATTAAAGAAATTAGGTAACTTTATTGGCAAAAAATTGATAAATTAATTATTTTCAAAATAATATGTATTTATTTTCAAAAAATATATATTTTTAATTATAATAATTTGGCTATTCATGATTCAGTAATTCTTATACTAATTCTTACACTACCCTTAAAAAAAAAAAATCCTTCAGCTTGAGCCCCTAAACCCAGTCAAAATGCACTTGAATTAGAGTTACGTAAAGGATTAGACGGGAGTGAATTTTGACCTAATCCAAACTCTGGTCTCTTTTATGAAATAAATTGGGTTAGGTAACTTATAGTGTAGTCTAGTCTAGGAATAACTCAAAAATTAACAAAATCGAACTTGATCTATAGGAATTGGGAGATCGATTCTATTAGTTCAGTACTCACTTATTTTTTTTTTGCTCTATGAGAGACAATAATCCATTTCAACCTAATAAACTCAATTAAGATAATAAAAATACTTATAATCATTATAAATTCATAATAATTTTCAACAACAATAAAAAAATATTTCAATCATAATCCAAGTGGTTCAAATTATTAAATTATTAGTTTAAGCCTGTGACTATGTGAGAAACCAGACTTATTAAATTATCAATATTCTTAACTTATTATTATAAATAATTAGTAAATTAATTATAATTATATTAAATAAATTTAATAAAATCAGACTGAATTATGTGGTCTAAATATCCAATCTCCCATGTGGTCCAATCTAGAAAAATATTCTAATTTTTTTAATCTTTTTAATTTTAAAAGATTAATTTTTAATAAGATCAGATAAAATCAGACCTTCTCAAATTAAATTGAGTTGAATATACCTGAAGGATTTCTGTACCGCCCTCACTTAGAATGATGAATGCTTACTCCACCCAATAATTTCTCGAATTTTACGGTAATAAAATAAATACGATGCCACACGTGTCGTTCGGTGAATGCTTGATCACGTTCTTCTCGCCTGCTGCCTCCTCCCCCCATAGGAAAGCTGCGTCTGCCCCGTTGGCCCGTACTTCCATCCCCCTCCCCGTCACGTGAACCTTTACCACGTGTCCTCATCTGCTTCTCTCTCAGGTCAACCCTTTCAACCCATCCAACCATCTATATTCACTCTCGTTTCCTTATATATCCTTTTCTTCAACCTCTTAACCAAGCCAAACCATCGAGTCTTCCTTCTATCCCCTCCTCCAACGCCTTTCACTCTCTGTTTCAGCCCCCCTAAGCTTCCCATGAAGGTTATGAGAGCTCCTCTCTTCAGAAGCGGTTCTGGTCCAGTTCAGAAGCTGGCCCTTTCCGGTTTTCCCAACTCTTCTTTGTCTAGTTACGCTTCGCTCCCCCGCAATCACATTCCCCGACGTTCTTCCTCGATTTCCCTCAATTTCCACTCCCCTGACCACAGGGATACTCCTCCGAAGACGATCAACAGAGCGTTGTCCGAAAGTGACGCGATTCGATCAGCTACTGAGAGTTTCGGCGTTTCCCGGAAGATGAAACGAACCGGAACACGTTCTTTTCCGGCCACTGTGTCGGACGAAGAATTTCTCTCCGGAAGCGAATGGTACGACATCGGAGGTAAGTCGAACTATGCCGGAGTTCCGCCTCGCTTTGAAATCTCGCTGGAGGAGTTCGAATTCGGTGGTGGAGTCGGAAGCAGGCGTGAAAACGGGATCGCGACGGTCACCGGCGGAAGCGATAGTGATAGGATCAAAATCGGTGAGTACTATGAGGAAATGCTCAAGTCAAACCAAACAGACGCACTTCTGCTGGGGAATTACGGGAAATTTCTATACGAGGTGATTTCGAGTCTTCAATTTCCTTAAGAATCATTCTCATAGATAATCTCTAATTGAACTTATCCAGTACGGATTATAACCATACGATCTACTTGCGCAGGTGGAGAAAGACGCGGTGAGAGCAGAGGAATATTACGGGAGAGCAATCCTTGCGAATCCTGGAGATGGCGAATTGCTTTCTCTGTACGGCAAGCTCATATGGGAAACTGAGAGAGACGAAGGCAGAGCCAAATCTTACTTTGAACACGCCGTCCACGCCTCCCCTAACGACTGGTATTCTGCTTCTTCATCGTCTCCTTTTAATTCTGATACATATAAGCCGGCTTTCGAAATTTTTCTTGAAAATCAAATACGCAATAATAACACCGTCCCTTTATTGCATGAAGCTCCATTTTGGGGTCGTATGCGCACTTCATGTGGGAAGCAGAGGGAAATGAAGAAGAAGAAGAAGACGGTGCAAACAGAATCGCCACGGAGGTGACAGCTGCTTGTTAATGACGTGAATATAAAACAGAAAAAATTGAAATGAAGTGAATGGCGCTTTGTACAATACTTGTAAGAGGCATTCAATGTGAAAATGACCCAAGAGAAGAATGATTGATGTATGTATCTAACAGGAAGCTCCAACAATGGATCTAGAGGGTGAGGGAGTGACAATGAACCTGGACTGTCTTTTTCTGTTTAATGTTTCTTTTTACAAGGTACGCTGTACTCTGTCTGCAGATAACATGTCGGTTAACCGCTATCCCTTCAGAGCAAGCTCAAAGGGCATAGAGTAGTAAATTTTGTAGCGCACTGCTAATTTTTGTTACATCTATAGACTATAGTGGATATATTAAACATATAATAATGTCTAAGAAGTTTTAAAGAGCTGTTCGTTGCTATCAATATCGAAGTTTTTTCCGTGGGGCACTTTCATGTTCTGTATTTTCTTATTTTGATGGTGGATGTTGTACAGTTGTAGATTCTATTATCTAGAAGAAAATTGGATTTTGAGATCTTTATTATTTAATTAAATGAGAAAGATATCCTCCTATCAATTGAAAGTGGAATAAATTCAATAATCAAAGACACAGATAGAGGACCACATCCATTGAATTAATTATGTATGTCGCTAGCTTTCACTATTTTCTCTTATCTTAATCTGCGTCGCTGATTTGTTTGATCGTTCTGGTCAATTTGGAGACGCCTAGTTGCTCACGTTGCTATTGAGAAAAATAAACAAACAAATAAATGGGGAACAAAATGAGAGAAGGGAACGTGCGGTAAACTTTCACCCATTTTTTTCAATCAGGACTTATCTCAAAGAGGCATCCTTAGTCAAATGAATAAGGAAAAATTACATTCAGCTTCCTCTCAAAAAAAAATTATTATATATAAGGCTTAATGTGAAACGAATTGTTGTTAAGTGAAAATATGATTTGTTTTTTATTAAATGAAACTTATTGTTATTGTTGATCCTTATCTATGATTAATTCTTTTGAAAGAAGGTTGAATGTAATTTTCTTAATGAATAATAGTTTTAAGTTCTATCTTAGTTACTTGAAATTTAATTTGTAAAAAAAATTATTTATGTCTAGATTTTTTTAAAAAAAGGGTACAGCAATAATGACAAGCCTTATCGGTGAAGTCGGTTATATGAATTATATAACATGATTGTGCTCTATTATTTTTAAAGTTTTCAAAAATATTGTTAATTAGAAGGTCTTATTTAACAACCTCTAAAAATATTCTCTTCAGTCTTCCTTTATACTTCTTTACAGTGTTTAAAGTCATCTATTTCACTATTTTCACAGGTGTCTCTCGTGGTTTTCTTTGTACATGACCGAATTACTTTAAACGATTTCCTACCATTTTTTCTTTAATAAGTGTCACGCCCACTTTTTTTTTGTATTTATTTATTTTGAATTTTGTTTTCACGTGTATATTCACACATCCATCTTAACATTTCATCTTTGCTATTCTAACTTTATGCTCTTGCTATCTCATCAAAATTCAACATTTACTACCATATAAAATTATTGGTCTCATAACAGTTAGACAAAACTTTTCTTTAGATTTATCAAGTATTTTAGGATTGCAGATAACTCTTTTAACTTTTTTTTAATAAATAAATTAAATTAAATAGATTAAATTTGTTTGAATAACATGAGAATCGATTAAAATTAGCTTCAATTCACATATTAAAAATGCAAACCTACTCAGTCGTGTTTGCAATTAATGAACTAATCACAGCCAGATCTCAAATGAATTGTCATATTAACACAACGAATACTGAAGTAACATTTGTGTGTAGATGGCATATCAAAAAGGGCCTTTTTGAATTTAAAATGCTCTATCTAAACATACCCAATTTTTCCTGCCAAATAAAAATCAGATTTGAATTTGAGTTCATGCATCATTCGTCAACAACACCACATGTCGAAGTTGTAAGGTTTGACATGTAGGTAGAGCGAGTGTTGGCGTACACAATACGTCGTGCATACGAATTCAATTCAAACGGGGCCCTTGATTTGTTTTAATGAACTGGAAACAGGTAATCAGCACATGATTAGGTAAAATAGCAAATATTTAATCATGGTTAAGCTTTCCAGAGGAAAACAACTTCTGTTTGAAGAAGTCAATAATTACATTAACAGGATAAATTCTATTTATTCCGAAGAACAATATAAAGCAGCGAGGTAGTAAATCCCTATGGTTGTCCTGTATATTTTGTTCGTTTCCAAAGTCTCTTCATGTGGGCAGTATACCAAACGATGACAGCTGCACATGGTGGTTTGTTTTGTTGGCGTTCTGTCCTGCAGATGATGATTAATATTTGTATAATCATGCATATCTACAATCTCTTCTTCTATTTTTTTTATACAAATATCTTATATACTACTATAACTTTTTTCTTCCATAACTTGAAATTGAAGCATGCCACTAATTCATTTGAATATGAATTTTGTAAGTGTCTCGAATCCTTTCACCTGGTGAGTGTCCCAAATAACACTCTAGAAATCGTCAATTCAATTGAACAGCTGTGGAAAATAATGTATTAAATATAGAAAGAATACCAAATCATAACTCTTGTGTGTTTTATACCTCAATTCAATAGTTCATTATATAAGAGGATTTGAAACCTTCATAAAATTGAGATCCAATTCATTCATAGAGTGAAACAGTTGAACAAATGATTGAAATGACATAATATCTGTTCTGAACGAGTGTCGTGTTTATGCACAAGAGCTTGTTAAATCAGTCTTCATTGTGGTGTACGTTTTCCATCCTCCGATTAATCTAACGGATGAGCTGCTCAATTAGGAAAACAACATTGTTTTGTAACAAAATCCACAAAGTTGAGACAGGTGAAGAGAAGAGAATGAATGACGAGGGGAAGAATTTGGCTTCCACAGATAGAGCAAACGCATCTTGGCTCAGATAATGTTTGGATTCCTTTATGATGTGTTTGGTTACTAACTAAGAAGTTCCTCGTTGCATATTCGAAGGAAGGAAGGAAGAATCAGGTTCAAAGGAATAAGAAGGCTCTTTTTGGTTAGCTTGATGTTAGAATGGCCAGAATTAGGAGTTCTGGCCTCAGCATGACTCTGGTAAATCTCTGCTTGTCTTTCTCAATTCTCATACATGCAGATAACCCATTTTAAAAAGGCCGAATAATATGTGAAGCTAACTATAACTTTTTCTCACAATTCACGGTATTTTGCAAAAGGGAAGACTTATGTCACTGCTGTCGCTGGAATGAATTATCTGTCGTATTTACTTAATACGAGTATTTATGATGGCGCTCTGAATCTGAATATAAAGAGCTGTTAGTGTTGATTGTGGATCGCTAATCATCATTAGTTCACATCCTATGTACTCAACTAAATGCCATTTAGGCTGGTGGTGCTGAATACTGGGCTAGCCCACTCTAGCCCCTAGGTTGGCTCAACTCTATATAATATTTTATTTTTATTTTTTCCCATTCTTTTCTCGATATTAACTGTTTTACTATATAAATTTTCTTAATATTTCTTACGTATTAATATAATTATCATTGAGATTTTTATGCTTTTATAATCATCATAATTTAATATTATGTGAAGGTAATAATAAATAATTGTTGCATATATATAATTTAAAAATTGCATGAAAAAAACGTGGATACACTTTCTTATACATTTGTTACTAAATTTTTCATGACAAGTAAGTTGTATGATTTTTAAATTGCAAATAAGTAAGTAATTCTTAGTTAGATATGAAGGGGACAAAATCAAATGGCTTCATACCCTGATGGTGACAAAAGCAGCAGGCATGAGTCCTATGAAAGTTCTCAGGAAAAATACATGAAAAGGCACATCCACAATCGGCGAAGCAACGTTTATGAATGTATGAGGCAATGTTGGAGTCAGTCTCAGAAAAAGCATATAGTTCAACAAATTCTCCCTTCTCTTTGCCACCTACAACTCAAAGCACAGCTTATTTCCCTCTCTAGAATTGGATTAAATCAACAGAAACACATCGAGAGAGTTATATTTAACCTGGTTCTGGAATAATTTGAGTTTGCCTGGCCAAAGAGGCAACACAATGTGCCGACCAATGAGTTTTGACAGGAAATAGCGAGAAGAAGCTCCTGCTGTGGCAGTACACATGACCGGAACTAAACCTTTGAGGACTCCAAAGAGAGCTCCAGCAAGCAGTGACAAGAACACAGTCCCAGGAATCATCAAAGTCTGCATGCAAATATAAACCATGCAGTATCCCACCAGCACTTGTGCAGTGTACTCTCGTATGCTTCTCAAGTTCATCTCTGCACAATTAAATATAAACAGATAGAGCACAGATACATTATCCAGGGAGAATTCCAACTAAAACCATGGAAGAGAGATAATTATGAGCAGGTCTCAAAAAATCTAAAATTTCACTACAAGATTTTTGGATTAAATTGAAATAAAATAGATGATTGACAAAATCAAAATACCCTTCAACAAAATTAACAAATAATTGACTATCATTTAACTTTATTTGTTAATTCTTTAACAATATTTTTTAAATAGTTAATTCTGTGATTTCATAATCTTAAAAACATTACTTATTAATTTCATAACTTTATTTATTAATTTATTAGCATGACTTGTTAACTATTTAACTTAACTTGTAATTCATTTATAAAACTTGTTCACTCAATTTGATCAAAAATCACTATTATTAATTGTTAATTTTTTTACTTCATTTGTTAATTTATTAATATTAATTGTAAATTACTTGACTTCACTTGTCAATAATTATACTAATTCAATCATTTTATCATAAATGTAGAATTATTAATTGTTAATCCACTAACTTTATTTATTAAGTTATTAATATTAGTTGTCAATTATTTTTTTTTATTTTACAAAAAGGCATTTCAGCCTTTTAACCACCCATTTTATTTTAGTTTAATTCACAAATTCTACAGTGAACTTTCATATTTTTTTGGGACCCACAGGTAAATATCTCTTATCCACGGTGCTTAGTTGAAATTTTCCCTATTATCAACTTAGTAACTTACCTTTCTGCACTCTGCATATTTTATACGTTTAAGCACAATTGGCAAGATATAAATAGAAGAGGCAACATTATATCTACAAATGGAATGGAAAACAAAGTCAAAATGACCATGCAGGACAGAATTGATATCCCCATTGTTTCACTTCATTTTATGATTTGAAAGACAGGCTTGACAAGGCAATCTCTAAGACCCCACAAAATTATGTTTTTGATTTCCTCCTCCTCCTCCTCCTCTTCTTCTTCTTTTAAAAATCACAGGTTAAAAGTTCAACTCATACGTATTATTAATGTTCATGAATTGCACTTGGAGTAAGTCATTTTCAATTTAAGCTGTTGGATGTAGGGTTTTGTGCGGC